TATTAAGAGCTCAAATTCAAGGGAGTGTAAATTCCCAGTACATGAACTTTGCTTCCTTCACAAAGATAAAAATGAGATGACAAGTTCTTTAATTCTTTTTATATGTTTAATAAGCTTACACATGAGAAACTTACTTATCCAACTGTTCATTAGCATCCAAACCGTCCCAGCACCTCTGAGATGGGACAGTCCGCCTCTTCTTATCCCTTTCAAATGTCTCAACATACCAATCTCCAATGTCATGCATGGCACTGTAAGGCTTAAACAACCAAAACCTGTTGCGGAAGCAGGAAAAGAAATGTACAATAAGATCAACAAACATTGATTCAAATTTCAAGTAGCACCAAACCCAAAAGATTGTGAAACAAGAGTAGTTGCAAGCGACCTATGTTTCACCAAAAATAATGACATGACAGAGAGCCAATAAATTCCACCGTTGCTGAATAAGTATAGATACATTAATGGTTTGGCCTACGGGGAAAAAGTTTTATGTTTAATGTAATGAGTATGATAAGTGTATAATTATATGAAGTGGGGAATAGAGTATTGTACTGATAAGTATGTTTTACATACTTACCCATTATATTGTTTAAAAGAAAGGTTGAGGATGAAATTTGTCCAACTTTCTAACTTCCACTTCTTTTCAGTCACAAATTTTTGAAAGAAAAGTTTCATATTAATTGATGATCATTTCATTTCCCAGACAAGATCATTGGGGTTGGCATTTCCCCAAAAATTGAAGCATTGGAGTTTACATTTTGAAAACAATAAATTGCATGTCGGCATTGAAGTTACACTACAATGAAGTAGAAAAGCAAAATGCAAAATGCTTCACTAATGTTCATGCGATGAATAATTTTTTCCAGTGACTGTAAATTGAAAAACCTAATCCTAATACATAGTTTGGCCTCTAAATGATCACAATTTACATATAAACATTCAATAAGCTTTGGATTTGGAGACAAACTTCAATTAAAACACATACCTAAGACTCAATTAAAACTGTAAGCACAATTAAAAAAAAAAGGTTTCTGAATAACATAACAACAAAGAAAAAATCAACCATAGAACTAATAAGATACTCGACCTTCTGTGTAATTAGATTGGAGCATCAATGTACATATCCCATTTGTTTCCAATTACCTAGGAAAACCATGAAAATCTAAATCCAAAGATTACCCTTTTGTTTTGAGGAAATGAAAAGCCAGCTACATACCTTGCCAGATGATTGGTTTGCGCTTGCATGAAATGCTAGAGCAGGGTATTCCTTCGATAGTATTCTAAGCCACCCTTTTGTAGCCCAAGCTGGAACCAAATCACACTGAGGAAAAAGAAAATATAGTGAGATTTTAAGTCCTAGAGTGAGACTCCCTAAACATATAAGAAAGTAAACTTAGCAGAACACCTTAAAACTTGTCAAAAAATATAAAAAATAAAAAGAACACCCAAATCATAAGGGTGCAACCTTATTTAATAGAAGAATCATGTGCTTGTGCTTGCAATGCTCCTTCAAATGTCTCTC